GAAATAAACATATCATTGCTTAGCGTGTTCTAGCATGTTGTAGCTGCTCAATAAATTCTAGTTCCTTTTCTTCTCCAATTTTCTAGCCTAATGTCCAATCCACTGTTCTAGCCATATTGAATTTCTTATCAGTCCCACCACACAGGAATGCCAGGAAGGCCATCCTCTCTGTCTGCCTGGTGAACTCGTCTTGTCCTTCAGAACAGAGCTCAAATGTCCCCCTCTTCTGTGAAACCTTCTGTCCATGCCCTCTTGCTTTCTGCTTCCTCATTACCCTGTATGTGTCTCAGTCATACAGCATGTTTCTGTTATACTTTTTTTTTCACTTATACTTTTGCCTCTCTGTTAGGCTGTGACCTTGACAGGTGCAGGGACCAAGTCTTACTTGTATTTGTAGAGTGTTTATAAAGAGTCTGGGAGAGGCTGGAAAGATGACAGAAGGATTAGCTTTTCAAAAGAACTGCTTCTTGGGTGCCCGGGTGGCTCAGTTGGCTAAGTGTCCGACCTCGGTCCCAGTCATGATCTCACTGCTTGTGGGTTTGAGCTCCGCATTGGGCTCTCAGCTGTCAGTGTGGAGCCTGCTTCGGTTCCTGTCTCCCTCTCTCTCTGCCCCTCCCCAGCTGGTGCTTTCTCTCTGTCTCAAAAATAAATAAAAACTTTAAAAAAATCGCTTCTTCCTCTGACACAAAAGGGAAGGAACCGAAGATGAATAATAGTAAGAATGGAGCAAGAATCTTTAAAGCAACAGGGAAGAGGCCAAATCTCAAGGGGGGGAAATCTGGTTTGAGGGAGAGAGAATACAGGAAGAAGATGTCATCCCAAGAGATGAGGAGGGTAGAGGAGAGGGGGCAGTGGTATGGTCTGATCCTTCTCCTTCCTAGATGTGTGAGGTCTCAGGATGGGCTCAGCACCTGGCTTAGCAAGAAGGGGTTCTTGGGCCCGCGAGGCAAAACAGCCTGGCCCCACAGAACTTGGCTGAATGGCCTTGCTTCACATCTGAGTCTTTCAGTCCAGCTGGGAGAGGCTGGAGGCTCCAGATGCCAGGAAGAGGGAAGGTTTGCAGTGATGTGCATGAGAGATTCTGAAGAGCTAGTGGTGGTATGGAACCATAGACACGCGATGAGAAAGACAGCAGGTAATCTGGGCAGCAATGCAATCCTCAGAAGATATGGTAGGAGTGACAGAACAAAAGCAGGTGGAGAGGGAGCATTGGTATATATGACGCACTGCTATTTGTTCCAGTTGGCATCTTTTTAAAGAAATATTTATTTGTGAGAGAGAGAGAGAAAGAGAGAATGAGCAGGGTAGGGGAAGAGAGAGAGGGACACAGAGGATCTGAAGCAGGTTCCACACTGTCAGCACAGAGCCTGTCACGGGGCTTGAATTCACAAACCGCAAGACCATGACCTGAGCCAAAGTCAGACGCTTAACCAATTGAGTCACTCAGGTGCCCCTCCAGTTGGCGTCTTTGATGACTGCATTAAGGTGAGTCTGTGAGTCTCTCTTCCCTCAGTGGTCTGTGGTGTAGGTGGGGACTTAGAAAAAAGACACAACTCCGACTCGTTCCACTCTAGGCTGTTGTACTAAGTTTCTTAGATTGTTTCGTAACTTACAAAGTACCCTTGACAACTGTTTCCAGGTGACACTTCAAAAACAACCATTATCTTAATCAGAGTACTTTGATGTAAACAACAGAAATTGCAAGACATTTAAGAAAAAAGGAGAATTTACTGGAAGGATACAGAGTTGACAGGAAAGCTGGAGAGCTGGATGTGGAAAATGGGTTTCAACCTAGGAAAGCCAGGCAGCAGGCACCACAGCCAAGTCTGTGCCTCAGGAATGATCTGGAATGGCCACCATCACTATGGTAGGGACTCCCATACCCCCAAGCTCCATCAGGGACCCACTGTGATTGGACACCTACTGTTTCTGTTGCTCTGAATAATTCTAAACTTGTCTACCTTACATTTCATTCCCTGAAGATTCAAAGTTCAGAGAAGTGTGGCCAGGTGGCCAAGCCTGGGTCATAAGTCACGTTGTAGCTGCTGGGGGGGCAGGTAGAATACCTCCCTGCTTCAGCTTCCCTAGTCTCAGCAACACTGCAAATACAACATAGAATGGGGCGTTCCTCCAAGTAAGAAGGACTCCAGATGCTGATGGTAAACTAAATAAAACAAATTATCCACCACGCCCTCATCTTTCAGACTGCTTTTCCTTTCCACTTCTGTTTTTGTCAGTTGTCGGTTGTGGTCATCATGTAGGGTTCCTAGGCTTGACATGTTAGGACCATCCATCGCTCTCATTTTCCCACACAGTAAATAACTCTCCAGATTTCTTAGGTTTGCCTTACCTTCTGTCCCTGCTATGGCTTTAGTAAGATTGATCTGGCGACAGCATAGAGGAGAGAAGAGACTGGGAGAAATTGGGAGTCAGATTCCTAGAAGGTTAAAGCTAAAAGAGACCTTTGAACTTATCTGTTATAGTGGTCTTATCTAGGAGTATTCATTAGAATTCCTATGGCGTTAATAAAATACACATGCTGGTATCTCACCTTCAGTAGATCTGAGGTGAGATTTTGGTGTGTGTGTGTGTGTGTGTGTGTGTGTGTGTGTGTGTGTGCACCTTTCTGAGGTGTGTCCCAGGTCACAAACTGCTCAATTTCAATACCTCCCCCCTTTTTTTTTTAATTTTGAGAGAAAGCACGTGTAAGCAGGGGAGAGGCAGAGAGAGAGAGAGAGAGAGAGAGAGAGAGAATCCCAAGCAGGTTCTGCGCTGTCAGTGTGGAGCCCAATGGATGTGGGGCTCAATGGACATGGGGCTCCATGGAGTGGGGCTCCATCTAATGAACTGTGAGATCATGACCTGAGCCGAGATCAAGAGTCAGATGCTTAACTGACTGAGCCACCCAGGTGTTGCACCAACACCCTGTATTAAAGATGAGGAGACTGAGGCCCAGAGAGAAGTTAGGTGTTTGAAATCACACAATGAGTTAACGAGAAGGGTAAAGGGGCCAGGACCAATCCCAGATCTCCTGGCTTTTGGTCTAGTGCTACTCCGACCTCTTGTTTTTTCCCTCTGTGAAAGGAAATTTCCTGTCTTTATTTGTATCTAAGGAAGCATGCTGCATGTCTATCGTTCAGCTCTTCCAACAGTAAACAGGCTTCAGATCAAGAGCCCCAAACTGTCAAGAACGAGCCCACACCAAGAGCCCCAATCCTAATGGTAGTTAGTTTGATCTCTGGACCACAGGCCTCCTTGTCAGAATCTGGGCAAAGCGCCCTCAAGAACCTCAAGTGGGGAGTGAAATGAGGAGGATCCCTGGATAAAGGACAGTCCAGCTGAAGCCATACTTCTGTGTTTGCCAGGATTCTGACTGGGCCTCTGTGCACACAAGACCTTGTTTCAATTACTCATTGACTCTTCTTCAATTCTTGACTGTTCTTTAGCCATCTGGTTCTCATCTTGGGAATCTACTTCTTTCTTTTTCCTGCTCTCTGACTTCCACCAATCACTCTGCCTTGGATTGTTTTACCACCAGTTCAGACACTGTTTCTGGGCAATGGAAACCCAGGGCCTCTGATGCCTTCCATTACATTATGTTGCTTTTTTTGATTTTGCTCTCCTTATAAAACTTGTGCTTTCTTATAAAGATTCCCAACAGGAAATGCCATTTGCTTAATGTCCTCCTGCTCCATATCTACCTTAGTGCAAAGAAAGCAAAGGGTAGGAGAATTGCTATAGCAGAACCATTTTTCAGAAGGGAGCCATTCTTTCTCCCATACCCTCTGCATCCAGGGGGGCCGGCATCAAAGTCACTCACTTGGTGACTAGCCCAAGTAGGAATGACATGGTAAGAGCTGTCCTTTAGGAAGCAACTCTAAGAGCTGTGGAGCATGGGTTGGAGGAAGAGAGGCTGTGGGCAGGGAGACAACCTACTGCAACAATCTAGGTGAGAGATGACGGGACATGAATTGGGTGGTGGGAATGGAATGAATAGGAAAAGATAGGTGGGAAAATAGTCACTTTGGTGGGAGAAGTGGCAGGATTAACAAACTGACAGATGTGGTAGATGAGAGAAATGTAAAGAACCCTAGGTTTAGAGCTTGAGGAACTAGGAGGATAGTACCTTTAACAGGATGAGGGAAATAAGAAATACGCTGTTTTTGAAGGAGGGTGGAAGACAGTGACTTTGGTTTTGTACACGAGGGATGCAGACATTCAATATGATGTTTCCATCAGGCAGTTGAAAGTGCAGGGCTGGACTCAGGAGGTCTGGATGGCCGGTATCAGTTTGGGAGTTTCAGCTGGGAGAAAGTGTGAGGTGAGAGTGGGGGCACATGGGGCACACCCAAAGAGAGAGGAGGACTGAGCCTAGAAGAAAACGCAGGCTTAAGCCCCAAATAAGGGGGAGGGATCGAAGGAGTCTGGGAAAGGGCTTAGGGGTTGAGAAAAAACCAGGAAAGTCTGATTTTGCCAGCCAAGAGAGGGGAGTTCCAGGAAGAGACGTGAATAGGGAAGATATGGAGATGCGAACTGACAAGAAGCTGTTATTTTTGGTAGTTAGTTGCTGGTCACTAAGTAGGCCTGGTCATAACAGCTACCCTTTCATGAAATGAAGCACTGAGGGAACGTTCTGGATAATTCACATAACCCCCCCACTCACTTTAGCCTTAGTTATCAAGGTAGTGCAGGATAAATGTAATTACTTCATAAAGTTTAACATCGCTCAGAATTTCCAAATCCCCTCAGTCCTCAACTTCACCAGGTTCGATAAGAGGAAATTGCAAAAACTGGAGGGCGAGGCTGAGGACGACATAGAAGGTAGCTAATAAATATTAATGAGGTTTCGCCTCCCGCCAATCGGGCCCGGGGAGAACCTTCTCCCGGCTCATTGGAGCCCCGCCCCCTCATAAATATGTAGCCGGTACCGCCCGCCGCGCACTGCCCCGCCCTCTACTCTTCTCCCTCGCAACGGACTCTCCCTTCAAACGGGAAACAAGATGGCGGCGGCAGGTCCGAGTACTCGGGCCTCTTCCGCGGCGGCAGCGGCAGCTCTGAGTCGGCGGGGCCGACGGGGCCGCTGTGACGAGATGGCGGCAGCCAAGACTGGGGCCCCGGGCGCGGCCTCTGGTCCCGCGTTGCTGGTGTTGCCGCCGCCGCTGCTGCAACCGCCGCCACCGCCGCGGCCGGAGGAGTCGGG